TAAAGATGATGAATCGTTTTGAAGAAGCGCTTGAATGGTATCAAAAATGATTGGTCATCAATCCACAGCATATAGATTCTTTATATGGGAAAAGTAAATTTATAAGAATTAATCAAAGTTGAATGTTATAATCATTATTTATTAGCCTATTAATAAAATGATGAATAAATATGAATTCTAATTAACATTACATTTTAGAATTATTAATAATTTACAAACGAATCCATAATCGTTGTATTATAGCAATCTATTAATAATTGTCAATTATCACCATGTATAATGAAGAAAAGATCTCATGAATAAGTTGTTCCTTGAAAAGAGATTGACTTTGAATAAAATAACAACAGATAATTTTCATCTCAGAACGAACACTTTAGCTTGTTTTACCTTCAATTTATAATAGTGAACCTAGAGTAAAAATGGAAATTGCTATATGCGAACAAATTAAATTTGGATTTATTTTAGCTTCTTTTTAATATTTTCAACATCAGTTACACTTTAATAAGAATAGAGAAACCTTGATTTTATAAAATGAAGCTATTTTGACTTTTCACTTCCAGAATCTCTATAGATTGTCCAGTTAATATACTGTGAAGTACTAACTTTAGTTTTTCTTAATTTTCTTGCTGTTGTTGAATAAGATCATTACAAGGATTTACCATTTTTGAATATAGCTTGTAAGTTTACTTCAGTAATAATTAATTATTTGTTCCCATTTTATCTGATGATTTTTAAACAATAATTACTTTATTTTTTAAATATGTCGTTTGATAGATTAAACTTGGTTAGTATTGATTTTTATCAAATTTTCAAATAATATGTAAAAATAATATTAAAGATCTTTTACATATCCTTAATTTTAAATTGAAAAATTATAAAAAAATTATTAATTAAATGTAGGGATTTGATTTATGATCTAAAATGATCATTAAAGCAATAATATTCAAAGTTGTAAGATGTTTTAAAAATACATAAATAAATCAAAAGATATTATTATAAATCAAGGAAATGAAGTGTTTGTATTATTTCCATAATAATTTATTAAATAAAAATAATTAATTATGAATAAGCATGATAAATATGTACATTTAATAAGATATACCGAAAATCCTGAATTTAAAATTGAGTAATCTATTCAATTTGGTACAAATTATTTATTTGGGTAATTGAGTGATGATGGAGAATATTTAATTACTTGGGATGAGTAATCATATCAAATATAAATAAGGAGATTTATAGAAATATGAGATTATTATATAAAATGTAAATTTAAAATTTAATATTATCTTATTTTGTTCTTATTTTTCTGAATTTTCTCATTCTCAATTATTATAATAATAAGACTTGAAACCTAAATAAAATATTAATTATTTTATGTTATATTCCAATCATTTTTTAGCTTTTACAATTTGGTTTGAATCTCATTAATGCTTGAAAATTAATTTGTTCATCTCCTCTATAAATAATCTTATCATTAGTCTAAATTCTAAAAAGCAATTTTTGCTTAATCATTAAGATTACGTTTCTATTACTGTTGTTTATAAAATATAAATTATTGGAGTATAAAGTTTTCGATTATTAAATATTCTTTAATTAGTAAAATAATAATTACCAATTTTTATCTTTATATAATCCTACTACATCCAATACCATTTTGCTTCGTTTCAGTAATAGTTTAATTTTGGATTTAAAAGTAAAAAAGATTTATTATGATTTAAAAGGACATTTTAAAAAATTTATTTGGTTTATTGAATTGATTTCATAAATCATTTAAAAAAAAAAAAACAATAGTCTTAATTATTGAGCTTTTCTGAGACGTCATGAGATTGGATAAATGGGTTTGACAAATGGAAGCTTAGTAAAATACCAAACTTTAGGAGCTGGATACCCTTCAAACAAGGCTAGAAGGTCTAGGATTGTCAATTTGTTTTTCCCTGAAAATGTCATAACAACTTCAAGTCATAAATGATCATACAAATTCTGCAACTTTCAAAACGTTCAAATTCTATGAATAAAACTATGGTTAGACTAAAAATGAATCAGGGTCTTCCATTCTTCTATTGTGTGGGAATGAAGATCGAATTTTATTTTAGAACAGAATCCTGGCATATTTTCAGAATCTGAATTTTTTCCAAAAATATCTTATGATGATTTACATCATCTCCCCAAGATTCATAAATCGAAAGTTTCAATTAATTTTTTAATAAAATCCTACTTTAAATTATGAGATATTAAATAAAATTACAATTAAGTTGATTTATACTTATGCATTTATTTTATTTTTAATAAAGGCAAATTAGAGCCTCAAATACTTAGAATATCTCTTATTTTTTAGAAAAAATAAAATCTTTTATTTACCGTACTTGGATTTATTTTTATTGTAATAAAATATCAAATATGTGATATCATCGCTTAAAATAAAAAAAATTAAGGAAGACAATAAGATATTTTATTGGTGATACAATATTTAACTTATAGTGATCTGATTAATCTAATGAGCTTTTATCTTTTATTAATAAGAATTGTGATAAGTTTTGATTTATACTTTAATGAAATAGTAAAAAAAATTATCCTAAGAAAGGTAATAATGATTATATTATATCTAAACATATCATCAAAAGGCAGTTAGAATGAATCCTTAATTTATTATAACATTTAACTAAAGGGTTCTTTTTTTCGACTATAAAAAGTTTATTTAAACACATATTAATGGATTTTAGAACATGGTCTAGAATAATCACTGATCTCTCTGAAACTGAAAATAGGTATCTAATAAAAACTTAAATTCTCCTAACTTGAGATTTTGCATTTTTCAACTTGAAGCCTTACTAAGGCTAAATAAGGAGAATTATTTGATATGAAATAGTTTATGCTAGATGGCCTAGCATAACTAATTATAATTAAAAAAAATGATTGTTCGAAAAAGAAAGGTAGTCTTGACTATGAAATAATTCTAATCAAAACTAATACATAATATATTTGGCTATAAATGCACTCTCTGTAACTGTAATATTGTAGAGACATGAAGAAATATGAGTGTAATTTTTAAGGAATCTGATCTGATTGTAGTAAGATTTTGGAACTAGGCAGAGAATAAGATGATATGAGAGATGAAAATTTATTAAGGAGATTTGCTTAAACAGTACATTAAAATAATAATGAACTTTTCTGTGATAAACTCTTCGAACGAGATATTGTTGTACATATAACATATACTATAATACAATTATTTATAAAAATTAGATGATAGAATTAGAATGGAATTACGATATATAAAGATAGTTAAATGACATATAATTACATTAATTAATTTAAATAGTTTAAATAAAACACATGAATATCTTAAATCAAAAATAAATACAAGAAGCATCCGAAACAATATGTAAAGCTCATAATCAAGAATTGATTGCAGTTGATCTAGACTTGTCAGATAAGGCATAAATATAATTCTTTTGTGGTAAATGTTTAGTTGAGAAAATTAATAACCATAAAGTGACCACCATTGAGTAATCAAAGGAGAGAATCTAATAAATTAAGATTTAATAAAAAGAAATCAAATCTAAAGAAAATCAAGCAAGACTCAACTATTATAAAAACATTTTAGATTAAATTATGAATTTTAAATAATCAATTGATGATTCTTTGGAAAAGATGTATAAATAAATATAATAATACATATTCCCAATTTAAAAAGAAAAATCAGAATTATAAGAATTTGAATAATAACTAAATTACTTTGAAGATATAAAATAATTATCTGAATTGTATTCTTAAGAGTAATAGAAATCCCCAAAATTAATAGAGGATAATCATTTTATTAATGAAATATAAAGACAATTTGAGCTTTTATTCAATAACTCTGAATACTTTTAGACGTTAGATACATTGAAGAGTACAAAAGAAAAAATTAAAGATATTATGGAAAATAATGTAATTGAATTAATCCCTTAATTTATAACAAAAAATGATTCAGTATCTTATATATATTATAAGTAGAAAACACCAAGTTTAAGTAGAATTTGTAGTAATCATAAAAAGGAAATAATTATGATTGATATGGATTCTTAAGAAAAGAACATTGAAGATAGATTTGCATGCGTTGATTGCATTTCTGAGAATCCAAATACAAAGTATTAAACAATTGAAAATGTGGATAAATAATGGAAGGAATATAACACAGAAACTGATAGGATTTTAAAGGAATACAAAAATGAAAGTAAAGAAAAAAAAGCTGAATTATTTAACTAAATAGCATTAATGAGAAAGAATTACAATAAAAAATTAAATGAAATAAGTGATAAATTAATTTCAGAATAATTTTTATGCATGGATAAAACTAATTAATCAAATTAAATAAAAAAGATTTCAATTTAAGCATTAGGTGATGAACAATTGTTGAAGGATTTAAAGTAGTTAATTGATAAGGAAAAAGAAAAAGTATCATAGAGCCAAATAATAACAAATTAAGTTAATAAAGACACAATTTTCAAAAAAGAAATTCAAAATCATTTAGAATCTTTGCAATAATATGATTAATAAGATATTTAAACATCATTGGATATACTGAAGGATATTACAAGTATAAATTTATTAAATTGTTTATAGTTGAAAAGAGTTTAATTATTTAACTAACTGATATGATATAAGAAATTTAAAAATGTGGTTAAAAGGATGAAAACTACAAAAACCA